AAACAGAAGTACCGTTTTTCCTGCAAAGTTGACCTCCACGAATGGATCCACCAGGTTCTTTCGATTAGTTTCAAAACCAAGGAACTGTTTGACACCATCCATAAGAGCATCATCCACTAAAAAAGAGCAGATTAAGAGATGAAACAGACAACACACACATCTACACACCAACGTGTTTGAAACTCACTCTGAGGCAGGTCTTCTGCCCTGTACACTCTGAGAGTAAACGTGGCTCCTGTCAGTGTAAGACCAGCTGGTCTCAACAGGTTCCCCTCTATATCCTCCTTTTCTTCCAGGCCCTCTTTCTTATCCATCTGACACACAGCATTGATGTTTTCAAAAGAGAAAACTATGCAATAAGTTTCGATTTGTTAACATGCCGAATCATGCTCGATCTATCCCTCACTTACCGGAGGTTCATCACCTGCAGCCAGCACAAACATGCTGACCTTTAAATAACCTCTGGCCCCTGCAGAAAGATCATCAGGGTCTGCCAGCAACAACCATTTCCTGAGAATAGCATGTCCTTTTCAGTGGAATAGAAAAAAATAATTTTAAATATAAAACACTTTGGGGCTTTTTAGCTTCAATTTTAGAGGCAACAAGCTTGATTGAATTTCAAAACTGATATTTAAGACTCAAAACAGTGTCCAGGTCCAGAGTTTTGTTTGTTCTGAAACGCAATCCAAATGGTGCTTTTGAAAAGAGCAATTAACATCACATTATGACTATGTGGTACTTACGGTGTTCATTATACACCGTGCCAACATCCAGCTGAAAGACAAAACAACGAAACTAAATTAGCACTATTATTAGTAAAGTCTGAAATTACAGACACATGCATGTGAGTGGTGTGACCAGTAAAGAAAATAAAAATAAAGAAATCCTGGAACTCATTGGAAATGAGAAGAAAACACCAAATGCGGACAATGATTAAGAGGCAAGAAAAATAAGAAATATGAGCAAATCTACCTTGAATTCTCCAATGACAGAGTCTTTCCGTAGTGACTTGGAGTCAAATACCTTGGAACGGGCATAGAGAAGATAAAGACAACTGAAGGTTTGTGTTAAATGAAAACAACAGCATCAACTACATTAATTATGATAATAATATAACTTACGGTTATAAATATAGGCTCATCAAAAAGATCTGAAGGTTTCTCAAAGAAGTTTAGAAAGAAAGTCTGAAAGTAAAGAATATATGCATACAATTAAATTTATTGAGCATATACATTAATTTACATAATTT